AAGTGTTTTGGAAATACTCTTCAGATCTTGGGAGATGCTAGTGATTCTCAGCTAGTCACCTGAAAAGACACAAACACTCCGGTCGGGGGTGCCGGAATTAGCACTCCGACGGACAAGTCAGTTCAGACACTCAGGATAGCTTGTTTACTAAGTTAAGTGAAGTGATTCTTACATATCTTTCTAAATCTGTAGTTCTTGTATTTATACTTGCTTTTTGGTCTCGGAGCCTGAGCCTACTTTTATCCCATTCCCCTTTTATTCATTTGGAGCTACTGATCTCCGGCTATTCGGCCTTCCTAACGTATTCGACATCCTAGTCACGCAATATAGAGCCGAATAATATATGATTTCTGGGATACGCACCTTCCGACTCTTCTATTTATTCGGCTCCCACAGCTGGTAAAAAATGAAAAATATAGTTGGAGTTGCTCTAAGAATTGTTTTGATAATAGGGTAAAATAGTAAAAAAGTTTTAGAAAATAACTATATAAAAATCAATTATTCTCTCTATTTTTTTATATGTTATTTTATAAAAAGTTAAAAAGTGAATTAAAATTAAAAAATTCCCAAAACAAACCCAAAAAGTGCTCATAAGTTGATTCAGCACTAAATTCACAATTAGGCTAAGAATTATTACTTTATTTCCTTTATTATTTAAAATTAATAAAACGAGTGGAGGATATTATCTTTTTCCTTTTCATTTCTTTTTATTTGTAAAACTAGATTGTGAAAATAACTACTCTTTTTCTATAGTTACGCACTCCCTAGCTTAATTATGGGAATGTACTTTATAAGTACATCAAGTGGAATGTGATGGGTTGTTGTAATTATCGGACTTTACTAATCTATTAATATGTTATCATTAAAACAATCTTCATAATTTTTAATTGGGGCTCGTGCCATAGAAATAATTATCTATTCCATTTCCTCTGAATTTTTTTATTTTATTGAGTTTTTAATATATATTATTCATGGAAAAAATTAGACCCGATTCAATAATTGTACATTTTCCTCTTAAAAAAATAGACAATAAGTATGTTTTTTTAAGATAAATCAATTCTTTTTAAACAAACACAATAAAATGTAAAGATTATGATTTGATCTATTTTTTTTAATATAATATATACAAAGATTTTTATAAAATAAATGACTTAAATTATCAAAATGAAATTCAAGATAAACTCCACAAACTCTCAAAAAAATTTAAATTCAAATTTAAACTTGAAATAAGTGGAACCCTCTCCAATTTATCAAATAAAAAAAAAATGAAAGTTTTGTTTATCTAATCTTTCTTACCAAACCTCCTTATCACCAAACCTTGTCATCATCATGGGATAGAATATAAGACAAGGAAAATGTTTTACTTCTAACCATGTAGACCTCACTTAGGAAATTGGCTATTTTAATTGGTTATTTTACTATTTAGATATTTTAGTTTGGCTAACAAAAATTGTGTTTGAGAAGTTAATTGGCATCCTTTTTTTTTTGTAATTGATTTGATGATTGTAAGAGAAAAAGTAATGATTAGATATGACATTTTATTCTAATTTATTTTTATCTTTTAGTGAACTATTTTAGTCCAACTTTCTTTCCAAATATTTCGTAATAGATTGGGGGTATCTACCTAAGCCCATGATTTTATTTCTAACCATTTGATTTGACTTTACAAGATTTGGAAATTACATAAGGAAAAGATGTATGAAGATCTTGTTTATTAATGACCGAGTGATATGTAGTCGTGCCTTAGGGTGCGGTGAGTAAAAGGTCTTGGGTTTGAGCTAATAGATCAGCGGTAGTCCCTTTAATTTGTAACCTAAGTTTTACTAACATACTAACATTCTATGTTTGACCCAAAAAAAAAAAAAAAATCTTTCTGGACCAACTCCCCTCTATATCTTTATTTATAGCGATTCTGGTTTAGACCTGAGCTATTTGATATTTTGGATTTGGGTTTCTTGGTTTTGCATGGTTGTTCTTGTCTTGTTCCTCTTTTCCCTCCTTGAGTTTGGCTATCAGGATGTGTTGATTGTGTTTGGAACAAGTTGGTACGTTGTTTTTCAAAAACTTTGTTGCCTAGAATTTTGCTCTGACGTTCGAGCATCAATTCTTACACTCGAGCGGCCTTTGTGAACTCTCAGTATTTTTACAGGCCTACAAAACTACTGGGAGTGTGTATTCTACGCTCGAGCGGTGTTTCTTGCGCTCGAGCGGCCATTCTTGCGCTCGAACGATGGTCTTCTATCTGTAAAACTACTGGGAGTGTGTATTCTACGTTTGAGCGTCACTTCTTGCACTCGAGCGGTGACGCCATTTTTCATCATGTCTTGGCGCTCGAACGTCACTTTTTGCGCTCGAGCGGACTATGCATATATCAGTTCGTAAAAGTAATTTTTTACATTACTTTTTCATCTCTTTCTCTAAAACACTTCAAAACCCTAAATCTAGAGCTCCTCTCTCTGGAACTTGCTCTCTCTCTCTACAAATACACTAAGTTCTACCCATTTCTTAAAAACATAGCGCACACATAGAGCTTTGTTTTCATCTGAATAGAGTTGGATTTGGGCTTTCTTGAGGTTTCTCCACTCTCTCCTTGGTCTCCTAGCTTTGAGGTAGGGATATTCTACATTTTTTAATGATTTTTAACTTAGCGATTTATTTTTCATAAACAATATTGTGATTTTGGAGGATTTTGAACAAACCTACAATTTTGATTTAAAATCAAAAGAGAGGTTTTCAAATGGATGTATGGAAAATAGTTATGGGAGTGAAAATGCAGATAAGTAGTGGCTAAAGTATTGATTTCATACTTAAAATGGATTTTGAAAGAAAGAGAGGTTTTGCCCTAAATGCCTTAAATATTTATTTTGTATAAATAAATGAAATTAAAGTTGGGAATGTAAAATCAAGTGGATATTGATATAGATGGTGGAGTTTGATATGTATTATCACTCACCTCAAAATTTGGAAAGTATATCTGTATTGGAGATTTTATATCTACTTAGAAATATCTATTTTGGACTATCGGTGGAGGATAGCTATGATTGTTGTAGAAATTGCATAAGGATTAGGTGAATTAAAATTAATTTCTTATCCATGTGCACTGAATATTGTTGCTCATTTAATACATTGCAAATGTATGTGATTTTGAGAAAAGGGGTGAAAGTAGGAAAGTGGTGTGTATCACCAAACTAAGTTGGTATGTGTGTCTAGGGTGAAAGTCTAAAAAAATGGCATATACATGGGTTCCGATTCCCGCAAACGAAATATCCGTAAAATGGCAATAGTAGCGTTTGTATAGGCTACGTTTACATATGTACCGTTTGACGATTTCCTACAGACAAAATATTCGTGAAAGGCTGTACCGGTTTGAGATTTCCCCCTCGTTTTCTATTGTAAAGATCATGAATTTGGACTTGTGATATAAACTAAGCATGGCCTAGTTTTAGGTAAGAAAGATAAAATATTTTGACATGAGCATTGTATATGCATTTCACCCTTATATCTTTGTTAATATTCATATATTATGTTAGATTATTTTTACTAGGTTTTGGCTCACCCTATTTGGGGAAAACCATTTTCAGATATTGGTGATATGCCTACACCAAGGACTTAGCTTGAGAGGACTGTGGAGCTGAAGGCTCAATTTGGTTGTTTTATATTTACTTTTGTGTAAGTTTAGGGCTTTATTTGTATTAAGTTTAAGACTCACTTTTGATGTACCCAAGTATTGACTTGGAAAGGTGTAAGCTTTTAGGGCATATGATTATCTGTTCAGCTTTTATTTTTTTTCTCAATCTTGTAGCACATGTTGTAGATTCAGGATGTACTGTTTATGAATGTATATCGCATGTGTCACTTTTTGTATATCAAACTCTGATTAATGAAAGCTTATCAATTTATATACGTTGTCACTTATCGATTATTATGAGATGGGTACAATGTATTTATTTCGAGGCGTTATATTATCTCTTCAAACTCATCTATATTTCTTTTATGGCTTTCAATTTGAACTCGCATCAATGATCTGAGTCATCTACTTCGTAATTGGGGTGTTCACATTATCGAATAAATTGAAGAACCAACCAACCCAACTTTTTTGGTTTGGTTTGGTTTGGTTTGGTTTTTGCATGCATCAGTTTGGTTCTAGATTTTCAAATTATCAAACCGATAGGATTGGGTTGGTTTTTTGTTTAGGCCTTTCCTAAACCAAACCAACCCGAGAACCGAACCTATTTATATATATATATTAAAATTTTATTTATATTAACATGCTTCCAACTTATTGCTCTATTGCAAAGGATTTGATTACCCCTATTAATTTTCCATGTATAGGAGTTATTAAATAAACGAAGGAAGTACAAAAAGCTTGAGTCAAGTTTCGCTGTTGATTTAATTTGTATTCGTTGTATTGATAGATTTAATTTGTATTAATTATATTTAAGCTTGAATTGGATTTAATTTGTATTGGCTTGTATTAAACAATATTTTTCTCTTTGTTTGTGTCATGTTTAAAAGTTAAAGACTTGTTTATTTTAATTATTTATTATTGATTGATTTGCTTATTTTAAATATAGTGGACACCAACCCAAGCTACATTGGGTTGGGTTGGGTTGGTTCGGTTCTAGTGCATGATTGGTTTGCTTTTGAGTCCAAAAAGTTAGAATTGATCATGATTGAGTTAATTTCAAATACATCGTAAACCCTACAACATAGGACATCCATGTAAAAAATTAATTTCATCAAACACATAGGCCCTGTTTGGCATATATATATATATATTTTTTCCTGATAATATTTTTATAGCTAAAATAACTAATAAAGATAAAATAGACTAAAATAGCTATAACGCTCTCATGAGCCAAACCTGTCCCCATAAGTTTAGCGCTGTAATCAGCTAGTAATTCGTGATTACTAAAGGCCTGCTTAACAATAATGACAATAATACAGTATAAAGGGGGTTGGCGGAAGCCAATCAATAATAAGATAATGTCCAATGAGCTATGAGGACCTGAATGGAAATAAACTTTCACGTACATAGCCATATTCATAACCACTTATACCAAAAATATATATGCAAGACAATATGCAAGTTAGAGACATAATCCCATCATCAAAAACTGTATACACAAAAGTCTTAAACATTCTTTACATTGAGCAAAGACAAAAGGGTGAATTTGAATCATCCAAAAAGCCTTGACTCATGCAAGTTCGGAACCACGTTATGAGGCACAATGGCTGGCTTGACAAAAACATAAGTTCAGGTTGACGCCTCTATCTTTGATCCGGTGCCTGGCCACCTACATATATATAGTAAACTGTGAGCTATAGCTCAGTGAATAACAAATGTGCAAAGAGGTTAAGAATGATGTCCTTTAGTCTTTGAAACAATCGATTATCAATAGCATATTTTCAATCAATATCTTTTGTCAATCAATCGTTCAATTCAATCAATCAATAATTATATAAGTCATACGTGGTACATCCGATAGCAACGATACACTTGGTCTTAAAAGACCGAACAATCAATTGATGACCATCAAACAATAACAATAGTTCCAAGATTTGGAACTGACACAGATCTCTGTAACAATAGTGACATCAATAACAATAACAATAACAATACGCTATGGATGCCACGAATACAATTCAAAAGAGGATCATCATTCAATTGATAAAAAGTAATCGTTTAGAAACAATATAATTTATCATTCAGAAAATAAATACAATTTGAACATATCTTTACATTATTGTTACTCACAGTGGGTTAAGTCGATATAAGGCCTCGGACGTTCACCTATACAAATCACACAACAAAGATACAATAGAAGCACCATTCAATACTTATTTCATTTTAATTCAACACTCTTTATGTTTCTATTTTATTCCATGACTATATGAGTCCAATTGGTGCCTAAAAATACTTAGATTGTCATGAGGATGCAAATAGGCAATTAAAAGAGTTAGTCAAAAATTACTGAAAATAGAGTCTCCGCTCGAGCGCACCTTTGGCCACTCGAACGGTCTGCAAAACTCTGTAAAAATACTGGTTGGCCTTAATGTTCGCTCGAGCGGCCAACAAATTTTCTGTGCTTTCAAAACTAGCAAAATAATTTTCAAACACATTTTCAAAACTTAGACTCTTGCATGAACCAATTTAAACATATAGTTTTATTAATAAAGATGAACCCATGACTAATTTTTCAATTTCTAATACAAAAATCTCTTTGATCATTAAGATCAAAATCATTAATTTCATGAATATAATAATCCCAACATTCATCTTTCTTTGTTTTATAAAACATAAATTAAAACTATAAAGCCCTTTCAAAAATATTTACATGTAAGAAATCTAAATCAAAATCAAACTAATTTTTTTATTCTCAAATATAAATTATAATTTATATCCAAATTTGTCCAGATTTAGATTTAATTTATTTTCTCCATATCAAATTCAATTTCAAACCCATAAATTTTAAAACATGAATTAAACTTTCAAAACTCTTGGAAAATTCATAATGCATGTACAATTGAAACTTAATTTCATATTAAGACAACTAATTTCAAACCCAAAGTGATTAATCTCTAAATTAATTTATACAAATTTGAACCTAACTCCATTGCATGGATCAAATCTTCAAATAAGTCTTGTTGCATGCTATTTACAGGACTCAATTCAAGAATAATTCTCAAAATTAAACTCAAACTTAACAAGTTTAAAGAATCATAACTCATATTTTGCAACACCTAACTTGATTGAACATAGAAGACCCAATTTCTATAAATTTATATAATTAATCCTCAAATCTCTATTTTAATTTTCTTAAATCTACCTTCAATTAATTTTGTCTAGATTAATTAAACAACATTAAAAAGAGGATAAAATTTCTTACCCATTAGTCTTCAAGATAGAATGTGGTTGAGTTCTACGCTTCTCCTTTTCTTCTTCTTTTTCTTCCGTTCTTCTACAATGTGTATATAAATAATGAGGCTCTCTCTCTCTCTCTCTCTCTCTCTCTCTCTCATTTTCTAACTTGTTTCCAGCAGATTGAAGCCTCCTTTGACTTTATTCGTCATCTTTTTTTTATTATTATTTTATTTTATTTTATTTAGCGGGACACTTGTCTTTACAATATGAGCCCATGTAGTAGTGCATCAATTCTTTCATTAATTAATTAATCTTTTTTAGAATACTTAATTGAGATTAATCTTTGATTAAAATTAGCTTAATTAATTACTCCTTAAAACTAATTAATCTTGACCATAACTTAATTAATCATAACTAATCACAAATCTCACATAATTTAATTAGTCTAGTTGACTTCAATTAAGACCTAATTAATTATATTTAATCTTTATCATTCTAAATCAGATTTTTAATCATACTTCCAAAAAGCTCCAATATCAAATTAAGCTTATTGACATTATCAATTTTTGTTTCTCAAATCATTTAGGCCTTCAATTTCTGATCATACTCAAAATTTTCATCAATAAATTACATTTTCAAATTGGATATCTCAAAAATAGATTTAATTCGTAATAATCACAATTCTCAATCCTCATAATTTAATTAACTTAATTACCTTTAATTCGGACCTAATTAATCGAATCTCAATTTTACTAAACTAAATCGAATATTTAATTAAACTCTCAAATGGTCCGAAACTCAAAATTAAAATAATTCAACTCGTCAATTTTACCTTCTTGAGCCACTTAAACTTTTAATTTCTGATTCCAAAATAGCTCTTTAATAAAATTATATACAAATCAACACCAATATTGTTCATCAATTTACCAATATTGTTCATCAATTCCGTAATTAGATTAAAACAATAATTAATTAAAATCAAAATCACCTCGACTAATTAAATATAAAATATTATATGTGGCAGGGTTGTCACAAATGCCCCAAAATCCTGGACTGTGAATAAAATAAATAAACCTCAAATTACAATAAACGATAACTAATAACCTTAAATATACAAAGCGTCTCCAAAATAATTACACAAATATCTCCAAAAAAAATATTAACACAGTTGTGGCCCCAAATATCTAACTCAATAAATTCCTTAATGCTTCAACTTCAATGGTCACCAAATTTGCTCTACACCTGAAAAATAAATGACCTAAAAAAGTATAAATATGATAAGAATAGCAATACTCGGATAGAGAATAAATTAATAGGGATCCAATAATTATAACATGACACAAACGATTTGATTCGATAATCAAGTAATTTACCAAATTGCATAAACAAATAAACTCAACATATGATAATTTGCCTAGAATGAAATACTTAGTTCTACTCAATACATGACTAGTGGCTCGCCTCATCCACCTCACCCAAGCACAATCACTTATTCGGGCATATTGGTACGGTAAGGTCCACTTGATTTGTGTACGAAGTAAATCCACGTCATTTAGTTAGACAAATCAACATCATCTATACAGAATATCTTCACAGAATTTTATTAGATGACCAGAATAATCAAACATATCAACAAAGAATCATTCCACATAATTTATCAAATGACCAGTATAATCAAATAGAGTATAAATTGAAGTAATTAAAATGACACTCTTTAGAAAGAGATTTATATGAAGTATATTGTATACCACTCGAATTACCTCAAAATGATTCATCTGTGGTCAATGTAACACTCTAGAATTTTTTTTCCTTTTTCTCTTTGCTCGAGCGACGGATTGTTCGCTTAAGTGGTCTTGCGGGTTGTAGACGTCCCCGAACGTCCCGGGAGGGAAATCTCGTTTTGTTCGTTGGGCTCACTACAGTTCGGACTCAAAAGTCACGATTCTGTATCTAATCTCGCAGAGTGCAATGCAAGATCGATGAATCATCAAAGAGTCCAAATCTAACAAATCGTTTTGGAAAACAGATTTTTAGAAAGAAGTGCCAAACATGGACTGCTTTGCCAGATACAGAGTCGCCACCTAAATATTTTATTTTGGGGGAATTTAGGAAACCTGGACTCGTGCCGAAGGCCACCTGTCCGTCATCACCAAAGTTACCTCAGCTCGGAAACTTGGGTATGATTGGGGAAGGTCACTTCGTGAGCACCTCCGCTCGCTCGATCAAAGATCGGCCTCTACTAACCATGATATCGAGTATTGAAAACATTATGTATTCTTATTCCGGTTATTAGCCTAGATTTACTACGTGATGTGCACAACATACAAGTATAAACTAGATCGCCTGAATTGGAACAACACATCTCATGTTTGTTTATTTTGAAAGTGGTTTGATGGTGCTACCTGCAAGTAGGCTAAGATGTGGATTTGCCACCCTCGGGTGGGCTTAGAAAACGTGATGGTTTGCCACTCTCAAGTGGGCTTAAAACTCACAATCAATGCATTATTCCAATTCAGATAATCCAACCTTCACCCACAGGCATTCAGGCAGGTATATCACATAAGCACATAGCCTTGTGGTAAGCATGCTATCATGGCAGTCACTCACACACATGCAAGGATGCTAAAGCATAAAAACTTACCCCTAATGCAACACATGTAGGAATGCAACTACAATAGGCTCGGCTATTCTAAAGATGGCATGTGAAATGCTACAACTAACAAGTATTCAACTCGAAATTAAAATACAATGCAGTTAGTATGATGCACTGAGCCCGGTGCATGCAAGACAGATAAATGAATGCAAACATGCTATCATAAGTATGCTAATTGAAACATGCCCTAAACTAACCATCATAAGCTGGTAAATAAAAGGGAGAAAGACATGGGGTTGGAAGACATACATCACACACACGCACACTTCTTACAACAATTGGCCCTCTTTCGGAGGGTCTGAAAGAATATTACACAACCAAAATAAATAACAAATTATTACACAATACTAATTACTTAACAAATGAATTATGTAAGCAAAGTAAACTAGCATGCTATGCTACGTGCAATGGAATGGACTGCCTCAGCTCTGTTACGAATGATAGGGATGCATGCATGCTCAAGTCGCCTTGTTGGGAAATCCATCGCGATGCCTCGCCTTTGTTTGCAATTGATCTCAGAAACTTGCACAAAGCTCCAAAAGGCTGAAATTCCACCTTGGGAAGGCCACCGACCAGTTATTAGCATGGGAGACCACCTGCCGACCACCCTTTGTGGTGGAGACCAAAGAGGGTGGTCGGCCTGCCAGAAAAACTGGTCGGCCGACCAGTTTCCACCTCTGGTTTCTGGTTTTTCTGCAACAAAGGCAAGAGAGAGAAAAGGCAATGTATTTTCAACAAATGTGTGCATGACCACTCTCCCTGTCTTTGCACAAGCTCAAGGGAGTGTAGTCCTCGATCCTCGTGCCACTAATCATGCATCTCGATGCATGATGGCCGAGAAGTCAAATTGCACGACTCGATGTGAAATGAATGCACATATAAGCAAGTAAAACCAACAACTCTATCATGGATAGTCAAGAGTGTCGGCGACCGAGAATCGAGGCACGTTTCGTCACTTGGAATACGAAACGTCCCTCATTTCCCGTGTTCGGACTAAACCCTACTCCAATCACAAAGCAATGAGATGGCATACACAATGCGACTAACATGCAACCTAGCATACGCAATGCTATGGGCTAAAATGGCATACACAATGCACTTACGAAGACTATCATGCGCACATGAACTAAATGGCATATACAAATGCAAGATGGACTTACACCAATATGAGTGGACCTCAGCCACACTCACATCAGTGGCTATATGATGGAAATTAGACAACCGAAATACATGCAAACATGCACGGATGCAAAGGACCGATCCTAAGGCATAACATGCAACTCTAACTAAGCATGGAAAAGGATGAAGTATGGCATGCAAACACAGATTTTCCAGCTCTGAAACATAATGTACAATGGTCCCGAATCATGCAAATATGTCACACAATGCATGCAAGATGGCTCGAATACCGAAACTAGTGAAGCGGGTTACACTAGAGGTACACAAAGCAATGTACAAATGGCAAAACCAACCCCAAACAGACCCTAGGCAGGCTTGAAACAGTGGGAAAATGACCCAAAATGATGACTCAACATGCAAAGAAACGAAGCTTATGCAATGATCTGAAAATAAGGCATTTATGCATAACTCTCAAACACGTTTAAAGAGTGGAAATCATGGAAATATGACATTCATATAAGCTCTAAAATATGATGTATAATGGCCCCAAAGCATGAAAACACCTCAGTATATGCATGCAATAGACCTCAAATCTCAAAGCTAGGCATGTATATTGAACTACAAGCATGCAAAACAAGCATCATTCGACCATGAGATCCAAAAACAGAGTTAAGGCAGTCCAAAACATGCACAAAATCAGTTTAAGGCATGGCCAAAAAGTGCTAACATGAAGGGCCAAAACAACATGCAACATAGGCTAATAAGCATAGTTTACACTACATGTATATGAAGCACATGAGGTGCCACCAAACCAGCCAAAAACAGAAACATGGAATGCCAAAATATGACCAGAAACCCACTGAAACTCAGTCAACACATGTTAGAATGAAGTGTTCCTTTGAAAGGCCAATGAGATGGTTGTTCTACACATGTATAATGGGCACACAAAATGGCAAAACTACCTCTGGACAGAGGTTATGAGGGCCCTAAAACTCACTGAAAAGGGCCTGAAATGAGTCTAGGAAGCATGCAAGTAAAGGCTCCTTTGGAAGTCCTTGAAGAGGATTACTCTACACATGCATAATAGACATTCAACACGGCAAAAAGGGCTCTAGACAGAGCCTATGCAGGTCACAAAACTCACAAAAAGTGGCCTGAAACATGGCTTTGAAATATGCAAATAGGGGCTCCTTTGTAAGGCCAACAAAGCTAGTAAACAAAACAAGGGGTGAGAGGGTCACCCCTCTCTGATTTTGAGGCTCAAAAACACATGTTACCCACTAAAAATCCTCTGGATTTCAGTGGCTAAAAGGCCAAACCAAGGCCAACACAAATGCTCTAATGCATAGCTCAAAACAAGAGGAAATGAAGCATGCAAGGGGGT